AGCTGCATATTTAACTGTGGCTTTGCTCATCAATGATCCTCGCAATTAAAAGAGAATACCACAACGAATAACGTCTAGGCATTGTCGTTGAGTGTTAACCAAAATTGGTGAATTTACTAAGATGAGATGACTAACGATGGCATAAAGGAAAAAAGGAAAGGCTAGAGTAGTTTGATTTGATTCCTTCTCTCTTGATGGCTCTCATATCATATAAATATTTTAGGATCTTCAAAAAACGGGGAGAAAAAATCAATGAAGACCTTAATTGACTTCACACACTTTATTAGAGAATGTTATTTATACCCGAACAATATGCATAGATAATTAAATAATCTAATCTAACGAGGAAATTAACAATCTCAGATAATAAAGAAATATTAAATATTATGCATAATATCTAATAATGTCTCTATAAATATTCTTGGAAATTATCTAATCTTCATGAATATACTTCACCAAAGGAAAAGGGTAAAGTTCTCTGGAACTTTCAGGCACTTTAAGGTGAAGCATCATGCGTGATTCATCATCCGCCATTCTTTACTGTTAAACTCTAACACAGACAAAGATGAGGATCACAAGAATGTGAAGGACGTAGGATGCTTCATCTTCAAAAAGAAATGATACATGTGACCAGGATTTATGTGCATCCATACATGTAAATTAACCGTTCTAAAATTGATATTCCTCGTGTTATCATTAACAGAAAAGGGGGGATTTGAACGGAATAGTGTCCCTCATACTTTGTTGTTTTCTCGGGCTGAGAACATGCCATGTTTGAGCACATGTTTCTTGCAAGGGATTGAGCTATTCATTTCGTATGTATTTGCTTCAGAACTCAGCAATCCAAAAAGGAAATCACTATATGATAGCCAAGTGACATGCGTATATGACTGGGTCAAGGTAATTAATCTGATGGAATAACGAGCATCTATGATTAGGTTAGGTCACATCGTCTGGTTGGTAGGAACGACAAGAGGACTGATTTGGATGGTTGATCTCGTCTCAATAACTTCTTATCATTTTTCAAACTAGTCTCAAACCCCATAGGATTTCGTAGATGGTATTCTAAACTTGTCCAACCTAAACTTGATACCCCTGAGCTTATTATGTTCCTATATGTCCATAATTTATAATTGAAAAATAATTTGAAAATAGGTAATAATACCTTATCTTGATTAGGAATTCACAATCACGAAAGACGTATCCAAATGCCTCAAAATTTCAAGTAAATTCTAATTGTAAAAAAGAGAAGTGACAAAAAAGATTATGAATACACATGAGTACAATCAATATCTATATTCTGAGTATATGAAAGTATATAAGTAATCTTATGCTTTTCAATATAGTGAACACATTTCAATAAAATGGCTCTCGTGTTACCCGCAAGAGAAATTTGAAACTCTCGTACCATATATGGGTCTTGCAAATGGTATAGGAAATCCTATTGACAGCAACCCAATCAAGTCTCTTTAAGGTTCAGAACAGGCCGACTATCCTATTAGACTTGACTCAATGCCATCTCTACATATTGGCAATGTAAAGTTTATCTTTCCATGTTTATTCGATAAACATGGTCATTGACCATAACGACTCCTATCGGAGTCATGTTGATTAAAAAGATTTAGTCATATTTGGGTGTCAACAATAACGGAATCCTAGTGCACGAAAAACACGGACTCATTGGTCATTGTAGTCTAATGCGACTATACTCTCAAAGAGGTTCATCGACGTGACCAGAGGCTTGGCAGCTCATGGACGTGTCATAGCCAATCGGGGTTGAAGAGCAATGGTGACTTAATTAGGTTGAAGCCCTCACGGTTTCTAATGGATAAAGAATTGGATAAATGAGACATTACGTTTGAGGAGGAACCCCTTTAGGACCATCATCTAATCTAGACCGCACAAGTTTTAGATCTCTAGGGCTGCGTTTTGTGGTCCAGATTTGGGTCCAAATAAGTTATTAAATTATCATATCCGGTGTTTAGTAACATTCTCCAAACAGGATAAACCCTAATACATCCGAATAAAATGTTGGATAAGAAATCCGGCATTGGGGTGAGATTAACCCGGTTGGATATACAATTTTAAAAATTAACTTAACAATTCACCATTCTTGGCGTTTCTCACCAGCGGCACCCCACCACCACTACGAAAGCCGTTGACTATGACAGTCCCCCACTCCGGCATCTTCAAGTATTCTTGCCAGTGCCCTTGCTCGTGGCTCACTTGGAAAGCCAGGGCTCACCACCTCATCCATGACTTCCTCTCTTTCTTAGTGAGTTTTCCAGCTTGTCCACCATCACCGAATCATCTCTTGATTCCTCTCTCTACTTCATCTTGGATTTCTCATTCTCGGCCTCCATTGTTCCACGAACTCTCTCTTGGTCGACTCTGAACTAGAAACGCCAGAGAGAAATCCTCCTCACTTTCAATTTAGAATTTTGCTTAATGGTGGAGGTCATGACTATTGAAAGTCATCAAGCTCTCGAGGTCGATTTCCCAGAGATGTTTATTGACGACAGAGGTCAAGAGGGTTTGAGTAGTCACGTACACGAGGATCGTCGGAGATGTGATATTCAAAGATTTAAAGAAAAAAAGATTTTCAAAAGATTTTCAATTCTATCTTAGGTTGCAGATGTTCATAGATTTCAAATCCTATTTAGGTTGCATCAAACATTTGATGGGATATTTTTACAATCCGGATGATATTTGGAGGATTTCAAATCCCCTTTATACGATCCTACCCCAATCCGAATCTAGACGACGAAACGCAACCTAAAAAACCAAAAACCTTGACACTTGGTTCATGGTCATCCATTTGACATGGACGAGCAACTTTTTGGAAGGAAAGAAAAGTGACATTGGGTACTGAAAACCATTGTAGAGAAACAAAGTCAGTCCTTGTTTCGGGCTACGTTTTTTTTTTTTTTTTGGGATAATTCGGGTTATGTTTAGTCGCGACCCATTAAGTCATGCCCACGGATATTATTGATTTTTAATTTAGTTAGGTTTGTAAATGATAGAGATTATTGAAGTTGGATCCAATCATTTGATGCCACATTGCCAACCTTTTGATTTTGCAGCTATCACGGAGATACGACCAGCATTAGAGACCTCTTTTTGACCATTTCGAAAAATTTGTCACCGTTAAGCAACTTTTTAAGTGTTCTCGTGTGGATACGGTACTCACTTGGAGCTGGTAGTATTGCCTAGCTTGGGTGACGGATGAGGGAAGGGCATGACAAAAGATATGTTGAGAATCATAGAGCGGAGAGAAAATTGGATAGCAAGAGAGGAAGAAAATCACATAAAAGACAGAGGAAAGGGAAAAGACACGCCAAAACTTGGCAATAACTCAATAAATCACAATATCAATTCATAATCAAAAAAGCTAATTGGAGGAATGCATTAACACCGACATATATGGTGTGATCGGCAATACTAGTTTCCTAATTGGATAACTATTAAAAGAGAAATGTCATCAACCAAAATCTTAACGAGATAATCATAAATATAAAGATAAAGAACACTAATTAGAAATGGGATCACGGTGTAATTGCCCGGATGCCCTTTCTAATGAGTCAAGTGATGAAATTGCTTCACACACAAGGAATTGTGCGTAAGCCCTTTTCCAATGAGTAATTGAACGAAACTGCTTTGTACAGGGATAAACAAATATCTGGTTCATTGCATCAGGAATTATCGTCACAACAATATCAATCACAGCAATACGCTTTCCCTTCTCAAACTGATTCAAAATTTCATGTAGCTCTGGAAGCGAATTTGTCTTGATTTAATCTCCTGAAAAGAAATCTTCAAATAAAAGATCCTCCCACATAGTTTCCTTAGGCATAAACTTCTCAGCCTTGAGTGTTACACTAATATATTTTATCATGATCTGAGCCTAGAAACTCAAAAGAGAAATTTTGGTCAAAAGATTTTTCTGTAATTGATTGATCTTGACTAATTTCACAATCAAGCAACCAAGAAATTTCAGAAACTAATTTTTCAATTTCATTAAGAGAATAAAGAATTTGGGATTGGACTCAATAATCTCTCGTGAGGAATGACCAGATGGACTAAAGATTTACTGTCAAGTTCCCATAAGTGGAACCAAGTGATTTAGATGATACAATTGAAAGATTAGGCTTGGGGTGCGTTTGTTTCGCGATAAACTCAATGATAAAGGAAAATGATAATCGGGAATACGGCTAATTTTTCTTTATTTGGTGATATATAATCAAAAACATTTTTTGATATTTGGATCTCATTGGAAAATGATTCCAATCTTATGACTTTATTTAGGCAAAAAACAAAATCGAATTTTTAATGATTTTTTTAAAATTTTCAAAATTTTAACTATTTTTATTTTCTTTTTAAAAAATTGTATAGTTTTAATTTTTTTTAATTTTTTTCTCTCTCCTTTTCTTTTTCCTCCTTCCTCCACCACGACCGGCTGGCAACGGCCACAGGAGAGCTCGAGCTTGCTGCCATATCTAGCAAGCTCGAGGCGAGGTCAAGGCACAAACTCGAGGGCTAGGTCGCGAGGCGGCGAGATCCAGGCACGAGCTCACCAGCCAGCACCTATAGCCTATCGCCAACCTCAGTCGAGCCCGAGCTCATCAAGATTGACCAAGCCGTGAGCTCGCCAGCCTCGGCGGAGCTCGGGCTCTCTTGGATCGACTAAGCCTCGAGCTCATCTGCCCTTGTCTTGGCTGGTCACTACGTTGCCAGCTGTCGCCGAGGCACGCGGCCTGCAAAGGAAGAAGGAGGAAGGAAGGAGAAAAGAAAAAAAGAAAGAAGAAAGAAGAAAAATTATAATTATAAAAAATTCGTTTTTTAAAAATAAAAATTAATTAAAAAATATTTTTAAAAAAATATTATAAGAATAAATGTTCCATTGACCAAGGACCCGAGTCCGAGTGCTAAGGACCTACGCACGGTCATTATGGACCTGGGCCTAAGGGTTGGGACTAGAGCTCGAGTGTCGGGGATTGAGCATGGCCTTTATGGACCCGAGTTCGAATGCCGGAGTATCGAGTACAAGCATCAAGGGTTTGGCCCTGGCCTTGATGGACCTAGGTGTGGGCTTCAAGGGCCTAGGCCTGAGCATCGTGGTCCCAGGCCCGGCCTCGATGGATCCGGGCCTGGCCGTCAGAAACCTAGTCACGTCAAGACCTGGGAATTAACATTGGAGTTTTCGTGCCAAACGTAAAATTTCGGGTCCAAGCTCCGATACCTAACTATATTTTGGCAAACATTTTTCGGTTCTTTGAAAGATAAAATCATTTTCCTAATTTAAACGTCGACTAGGAAAACCTTTTTCGTCGACTAGGAATATATTTTCCGTTGACTCATTTTTCTAAGCGAACCAAACGTCGGAAAAGGAGGAAAATGTTTTTCACGAAACAAATGGACCATTTGTTATCTTGGGAGAAGGTTTAGGCTTAACCGGTAACTACACAATTTTCTTGCATTGAAAGTAAACATGTATGTATTTCCCTCCCACGACTTAAAACGTCCAAAACGTATAACGTATAACCGTGGTTGACCAAGAGTAATATAAGCACCCTTTGTCAATATAATGTCACACCAAACAAATTCAAAAGTCACAAGCAAACTTAATGGGTAATTTTTTTTTTTTGCTAGAAAATTTAATGGGTACTTGACAGTTGACACCTTTCGGAAATAACTCTGTACCATCATCACTTGAAAAAATTTCATAGAGACTCGGATGCAATTTGACATTGAGTTTCAAAAGTTTAACCAGAGAACTCGCAATAAGATTTGAAGAACAACCATTCTCAATGGAGATTTTGCACATTCTATTCTGCAAGTAATTCCAGTCAAAAGTGCGAAAACATTAGTTCTTTTCCATTCATGCTCATCGACATCTAAATTGACTTACCAAAGATAATAATTAGGAAAATTTCACATCTTCTTCCAAGCAATCGTTTTCTATATTCTCTAATTCCATCTGGAACTCGATCAAATTCCGTTTCCCGATCGCCGGTTTTTCGTGTTCTGTATCTTTTTTATTCGACCCATCTCAAGCCGCTTCCGCCTTCACGGGTGCCGAGATTCGGGGTTTCTTCGCTGGATGCGGGTTCTCCACCACCTCGACCCCGGAGACCACGAATCTCGTGAAGCTTCTTTAACTGTGAAAGAGAGTGGAATGTTGGGGACCAGCAAATGCACATGCGCCTCCGGGGACGACACTTCGTTTGCTTGAACGGTTAGAGATTCCATTCTATGCGGTTCCATTCCTTGTGTTTTTATGGTTAATTCGTTGAAGGAAACGCTGACGAGTGAGTTTAATTTGTTTTCTGGTTCTTGTAGCTTTGGCTTCTGTGGGGGGTTTGGAGGGTATGAACCATACTCGCCATTTCATAGCTACTAAGGCTGCATTTGGTAGTTGGGATAAAATTCGGAATATGATAAATTTTATCCTATTCCATGTTTGGTACTTACTCAAGATAGGATAAAGTCGGATATATGAAAGATATAGCACGGATAAATTATCTCATGAAGGAGGTAGGATAAGGATGGATAGGATTTATAATATCTATAATATAAAAATTATTTTTCTCGAATAACAAACTTGTTAAATTAATAAAATTAAAATAACATTTGAATATAAATAATATTTGAATTTTAATTTAAAAAATTCAAAATAACAAAAAAACAATATATTCGTTTTTATTTATTCTTATTTTTTTTATATATTCAAATTTTTTCTATCTTATGATATAAATTTCATATATATATACACACACATTTAGTATTTATATTTATTACATATTTTAGGCATATTTGTATAGTTTACTATTTAATAAAATTTTATTAGAGAATGATGGAAGGGGAAGAAATAAAAAAGGAAATAATTAAAAAAGAGTGGGAAAAAAAATGAAATAGGTAAGATTGTCGTGAGAATTTTTATCATCTCCGTTTGTGCAATTTTTAGATTCATTTACACTGATATAACATTCATAGTAAATAATGGACATGGTAATATGTGAAAATATCCTGGTTTATTACCGTGATGCACCAAATAGTAGATAGTATATAACAAATCCCTTGGATTTCATATCCTATCCTATCCAATTCTATCATAACTAGAAATCTGGATGATCAAACGCAGCCTAAGTCCATGTTCCAGTTTAATTTTCCATTTTAATGTATTTTTCTGATTAAAAATTTCAAACACTAAAATCGTAAAAGCAGAAAACTGTCTACTACCTTAAAGGATTAATAAGATGAAAAACTCCAAACTAATACACATGTAATAAATTTATCTCAAATTAATTTTTTGATAACGAAAAACCGTAAACTAGTACACCTGTAACAAATTTACCAAAAACTAATTTTTTTATCACAAAAAATCCAAAACTGATATATTTATGATAATTTTTCCATCCGTTAAATTGAATTAATATTATGAAAAATCACAAACTAGTATGCATGTGACAAACAGATTGGTACACTCGTCAACTGTAATATTTCATCCAATTTATAAATTTAATGGTAAAATTTAATGAAAACTAACGAAGGGTAAAATTGTCACAGATTACCAGTTTGGGATTTTTGGAGATTAAGAAATTATTCTTGATAAATTTATCACAAGTGTATCAGTTTGAGATTTTTCGCGATATTAACACTACCTTAAAATAGAAAAACTACTTATAGTTATCTACGAAATGCTCGTGGCACGCGTAGCGTGCATGGATCTAGTCTTGAATGATAACAGGATCAACAAATAAACAAGGTTAGCCCCGCCTACTGGGCCGGCCCAATTTGTACTCATCATCGCTCGCCCGGCATAAGAAGGGTTTGCATTCTACCTGAAACCTTGAGATTCGGAGAAAATATTGCGTGAGTGGAATACTCCACGTCAGCAATACACAACTCCATTGAGCGCGTGACACGTGGCAAGCGGGCCCACAGATCAGATTTATTAAAAAATCTCACTCTTTCCCTTCTCTCTCCCGACCTCCGTTAACTCTCCTCCGTTAGTGCTCAAATATTCACTTTTCACCTCCTGGTTTCTCTCTCCTTTACTCCTCCCGCTCAAAATTCCTCGCGCTCGCGTCTTCCTCTTCCTTCCTCCCCGACTTCCTCTTCCTTTGGTCGTGAACCCGCCGCGCCTACGCCGGTTGCCTCCGCCGGTTGCCTCCGCCGTCCCCTTCTAGAAAACCCATTTGCTCTCTCTCTCTTTCCTCCGCGAAGCGCGGCTCTTTGTGGACCGCGCCTCCGCCTCCGCCGGTTTCCTCCATCGTCGCCTCCCGGAGCCCATCGGTGGCTCAGATCCTGACCACGCGGCCGCCTCCGCCTACGCCTACGCCGTCGCCGTCTCCTCCGAAGCCCTCCATTGGCGATTCGTCCTCTGCCACTCTCTCTCTATCCCAAGAAATGGCTCCGCTCTGCTCTCTGTGACGAACCGCGCCTCCGCCGTCGCCTCCCGCAGCCCCTTTGGAGATCTCAGGCTTCGACTCGCCCTCTGCGTTACCTCCCGAAGCCCCATTCTCAGGTTAGGGTTTTGTATGACTTGAGCTTCCCGTCGTTTTTGCCCTAAAGTGAAGATTGGTGGCTCAGATCTCGACCACGCGACCGCCTCCGCCTACGCCGTCGCCTCCGAAGCCCCCATTTGGCGATTCGTCCTCTGCCCCTCTCTCTTTGTCCCGAGAAACGGCTTTGCTCGGCTCTCTGTGACGAACCGTGCCCCGCCGTCGCCTCCCGAAGCCCCTTTGGCGAGCCCTCGGCGGAGGAGCTGGCGCTGGTGGTGGTGATGGTGGGGTCGAGGTGTGCGCGTTCAACAATCGTGGCGCGGGCCGGAGTTCCGTGCCCGCTGACAAGTCAGAGTACACGTGAGTCCGATCGATGCATACGGTGAGCTTTCTAGTTCGTTTGAGTGTGTGCTGCTTCGTGGAGTTTCTTGAATCGGGAGCCTATTCACAGGAGAATGGTTGCCAGTTGGTGCAAAGCTGAAATGCAGCTTCAGCTTTCCTTGGAAAAAATCGTGGACATTGGATGGCTTTCTTAGTCTTTTAGTTTGATGATAATTTGGTGCTGTTCCGAAAACATTTTAACGAAAATTGACTTTGACTTTCGATGTGATTTCTGGAGCAGGACAAAGATTATGGCGAAAGATGCGATTGCTGTACTCGATCACCTGGGATGGGAAAGAGCCCATGTCATTGGCCATTCAATGAGTGAGTCTTGAATGACCCAAATTTCATGGATGCTTATTTGGCTCTGTGGTTCATATGAGAAATTAAAACAACCATTCTGATTGCAATTTCTGGATGCCTGGATTTATCTGGCCATTTTTTAAACTTAATAATGAACTAAAAATCACATCCATGACATGTCTGCCTGTGAGTCCAGATCGGGTTCCTGTTTGTTTCAGGGTGACTAACTGCCCTCTTTGGCTGTCAAAACAGGAGCTATGATCGCTTGCAAGTTTGCTGCCATGGTGCCCAACAGAGTTTTATCTTTAGGATTGCTCAATGTGACTGGTGGAGGTTATGAATGTTTCCCAAAGGTATTGCATTCATTTTAGTATGCGATGGTCCTTCCTTTTTCTCCATGCAAACTAAAAGGGAAAGAATGTTCTTCCCGGTTTCTTTTATCATTAAAAGAACTATTTGTTTGTGTGGGTGTTCGCCATTCAGTACTTTACAGACAGGTTGTTCATTTATTGCATGCTGAGCATGTTCCATGCTCCTATCCTTTGCTTTAACCACATGAACAAGAGGAAATGGATTTTTTACTAATATACTGCTTAGAAAGGAGCCGTTATGAACTTTTACTGGTTGGTTACTTGCGATTTTAATCCATGTCAAGAATATTCCTTATTAATGTTTGCGCGTAGTAGCAGAAGTTGCTTTCATAGTTTGCATCTCTCGAATGTCCCAATCATAGCTACCATACAAAATCATTCAAATGGAAAAATCTTCAAAAGATCTCATTGCATCACTTGAATATCCCAGCCATAGCTACTGCACAAAATCATAGAGATGGCTATTTTTCAAAAGATCTCTCGTTGATTAGCTACGGAGTCCTTTTCCTTGTGAAAATGAGAAGCAATGCAGAGACATAGGACTTAACCTTGGATATTGTGCAGGAACAATGATTTTTGAAATAGAGATTGTAAGAAAGATCAATATCTAGCGAGAGCCTTTTGCATCACGCGTTGCAGTCTTCCGAGATGATTCCGTGTTTTCATCTAGGCAAAAGGGTCCTCTCACAGTTTGCCTTTTAATGGTGAAACTGCTTATTGTTCACTTGAATCCATTCATATTCTGTATCTTGACCTCACCATATGATGGAACATTGTTATTGGGGGAAGTGGAAGCTGTTTTGACTTTCCTCAAGGAAATTGGTTTCATTTTTACTTTCCCAAAGAAATTTCCATACTTGTTTTAAGTAGCTACTCGTGCTATTTACCATGTGAATTAAATTAGTTTTGATGATGCAATTGCATTGTCAATTAAAACAAAAAAATTGAATCCAGTCCTGATATTGCACTTGATCCACTATTTGAGTGGTCTAACAATGATCTTTTGATTTGCGTAGATTGACCGGCGAACCATCTCAATTGCAATCCGCGTTTTAGGGCTAAAACTCTGGAACAAAGGGCTGCTGTTGATTTGGATACCCACTACTCAAAAGTAGGCAGTACTTATGTACTTAAACCATCATTGTAAAATCCACTGCATACTCCTTTCATCTCTGTCAAAGGAGAAACGCTTAATCTTTCTCCATCCCAAAAGAAATAAGGATTTCAGGAGAACAATTAGTTGTTCTGTGATAGTATGAATAAATGACCAGATAAGTAAATTCATTTGTGTTCTTATGATTGGAGTCTTTCTTTTGGGACATGGAAGTGCGTCGATGTGTTAGGCTTCCACGGACAGAGGTTTCAGATAATCTGTGTGAGTGTGTGTGTGTGTGTGTGAGAGAGAGAGAGAGAGCAATCCACAGGGTAAAGCCATTGGTCTATTTTTCTTTCTATTATGGAAGCGTAATGTATTATGTGCAGGAATATCTTGAGGAATATGTTGGATCTAGCACCCGGAGGGCAGTTCTCCACCAAGTAAGAAATCTTGAAAAATCTCAAGTTTCTTTGGTCTAGCATTAACATAATGGAGCAAACTCTACATGGCCTTAGTAACTCTTGTGTTATTTAGAGACTTCCGAGGGTTTTTAAGGTTTAGTAAGTGTTTATGTCTACGAGTGTTGTTTAGGTTTAAATGCACAACAATGCCATATAAACAAGTGCCAAACTATCATTGAGTTTTCCTATCCTTAGGATTTCCAGAGATGCATTTACTTTGGTGTTCATAGTTAAATGGACCTACCTCTGAATAACCATGGTACAATATTTTTTCACTTATGACTATACACCTTTGCTTAGAGTTCATTGAAACTGGATGAACTTTATAAGAGATTACTTCACTGAAAATTGCCATTTTTGTGTTGAAGTCAATAATTGGTTTTTGACTAGGTTAATTTTATAATTTTAGTATGAGATTGATAACTTGACTAAGGACTGGATCCTATCACTTTCAGGAATATGTAAAATGTATTACAACAATGGGACTGCAGTCCAACTATGGCTTTCGGGTTAGATAAATGCTTGCTGGAAGCATAGAATGACAAGAACAGAGATACAATTTTGGAACTTCTTTCCTGCAGCATCTTTGTTTTGTCTAGGACTCTTCATCGGGAGTGCGCTGTTGGCATCAGATTACAGAGAGGTGTATACCTACTCTTCTTAGTTCTACAGATAATCATGTTTTTTCACTGTTACTCGGTCCCGGTAGTTTATATGCTGGATGTTGCGAATGAAATTGAAAATGTTTTGCAGAAATTCTCAGGATGGGATTGGAGGATAATTGATAAATCACAGAGCTCTAACGCCAGCACTTGTGCGGTATGTCATCCTTCCATCCAGTGCTTGTTATTAGAGAATGGCAGTTTTGAACCTCATCACTTTCAATTTAATTGTGCCATGCCAGATGTCTCACTTGTTGCTTAATAGCTTATTTGTGTTTTCATTTCAGAATCGATGCAGACCACGTGGAAGTGAGGCCTTACCAGAAGGTATTGTTGCCAGTTCTTCTGATTTGGAAATGAGGCCGTTATGGATTCTGCAGAGGTAAAAAAATAGCCTGAAATGACAATAGTTTTTTCAATGTAGAAGATATAACATCATAGTTCTGAACATGCATTAACTTGCTTGATCTTTGGACAGGGCTCTCTTAGTTCTTCGTCTAACTTGTTTGCTGTGGCTGTTGGAATCAAGCAAAAGGATCTTGTGAATAAAATTGTTACAAAGGTGAGGAGACTTTTCGGCTGTTGCTTAGCCTATTTTTATCGAGCTTTTTCCAGGCTAAGCGTGTCAATTTTCACTTTGCACGTTTCTGTCAAATGATTTTGTGGTGATGCTTTTCCACTATGATGTTGTTGTTGATGAGTGGAAGGACTTAGAATGGAGTGATCGCGTCATACATGTATCTGCATTTAACCAAACTAAATGGCAAGTGGTCTTTTCCTTCCGACCCGGTAATGATCATTCACAAGTCTCCTAATGGATCTTCAATCTTGTTCTACATGACTAGGTGGTTTGCCAAACGTTTCCTGCATCCAGATATAGTTGCAGAATACAAATATATTTTTCGTGGATGAAGACCTAGGAGTTGAAGATTTTCACCCCGATAAGTGTGTGTGCTTCACCTCATAAGCAATTCAATTTTCTTTGCTAGCTTATGAGGAGTGTAAGACGTGATAGTATCGTGTTCCACTTTGTTAATATGCGATGCTTCATCAAATATCCGTTAAATCTATATTCATTTAGATAATTGGTTTCTTGATCAGCACATTAACAGCGCAATGATGTACTCACTTCATGTTTCCTTGCAAACTTCTTAACTTGTTGGCAATGATTGAATGTCATACCTAATTGTTTTGATGATTGTGTGCGATACTTGAAATGATGATTATGGTATGGTCCAACTTCAAAATGCCTTTGACAAGATATCTGGCTTTTGCGGATAGTTTGGCTAGTCTTTGTGCCCATTTATGTGTTATTCAAGCGGCGAAATCCGATTTTTTAGTCATTGAGCTACGTATATATATAGAATTGGTAGTTTAGGATGTTGCTGGGGTCGGATTTTACGGAACCCGATTACGACTTACGGTTTGCCGGATATGAATTTTTGAAGTTGAGCATGCACAAGTGAACAGGCGCGACCAGCGGCTTTTAGGCCTATTTTCGTCCGCTTTCGGCTCGATTTTGGGACGGCCAAGTTAGGGTTCTTGTAGTGCTCCAAATGAGCTTTCTTTTAACTATAAGCTCGCTTGGAACAGAGTTTAGTGGAGAAAGTTACGGTGCAACCAAATTTCGTTCTTAAGCTCCGCGTTGCGGACAGTTTGGCTAGTCTTTGTGCCCATTTATGTGTTATTCAAGTGGCGAAATTCGAGTTTTTAGTCATTGAGCTACGTATATATATAGAATTGGTAGTTTAAGGATGTTGCGGGACCATGGGATTTTATGGAATCCGATTAGGACTTACGGTTTGCCCGATATGAATTTTTGAAGTTGAGCGCGCGCAGTGAACAAGTTGTGCGACCAGCGGCTTTTAGGCCGATTTTCGTCTGCTTTCGGCCGATTTTGGGACGGCCAAGTTGGGATTCTTGCGGTGCTCGAATGAGCTTTCTTTAACTATAAACTCGCTTGAAACGGAGTTTAGTGAAAAAAGTTATGGCACAACCAAATTTCGCGCTCAAGCTCCGCGTTGCGAGGCAGTTTGGCTAGTCTTGTGCCCATTTCTTTTCTTACTCCTCTCATTTATGTATATCCATGTACTTATGTGGAGATGTGAAAGGCATATTGACACAAAACAAACTTGGCAATATTGCATGAAAGAACGCTAAAAGCTCTAAATCCGTGCAAGGAACATTGAAATTAAGATTGCGGAGATATACAACAAGAAGAAACTAATATTCAGACCTCAAATGTGGAATTCCTTTACTAAAAGGATGCTCTAACTTGTGGAAACAGATCTTATACCGAATAGGATGCTAAATTTTTCATCCAGCTAGTCATTTTGTTAAGTCCCAATGAAGAATTTCCCATCTTCCACTCCAGAAGTAGACCTTAATTCAAAACATAATCGTTTTTCGGGTCAATTTTCTTGATAGACAAGATTAACACACAGTGATTGCCTGTTTTAAGCAACATAATGCTTTTTACCTAAAGTATGCCAAACAATATCAGCTTTGCTTATTCTGACGCAAGATAAACCCTCACATGATTATAGAACACCACGAATTGTAATCATTTTCAACTCGTCACGACAAATGTAATTGCTATAGGTAATGCACCCTTCTACGACATATGGGTGTACCGGCTTTCAATCTTTGCCACTCTCTTTTTTAGAAAAGAAACTTCATTCATACAAATTGATAATGCGCATAGATGGATCCAATGAAGTGAGTAAAGATGAATCAGAGAAAAACAGTCACACCCAAGTGCAACACTAAAATAATGAAATCCACGGTAATAATTGGAAAGACAAGGATCTAAATAGAACTTTGAAAATCATCGACTCCGTCTTTCTACCGGATGAAACATAAATTCCAAAACAAACAAACAAGTAGGGCAAAATAATCTAACATAGTTACTAAAGACACAAGGAACACCAAAATTTGTGTACTCTTCGAGTGTTCTTCATCATGGGTCTCACTTCTTTGCCTTGTTCGATACCCGAAAGCCCAATAAAATTCTATAAGATAAATCCAACTGTGGATAAAGAAATCTGCCCATTTTGTTGCATATACTAACTCCATTTGCAAGTGCAGTGGCCGGTGGTGCTGCTACGGCTTCTCACCGGTCCCCTGTTCAATTTAGACAAGGGAATCAATTTAGAATCCACCTATGATACATAAATACATTTTCAGTCTAGTATAGTAGAGCTTGTAATTTTGCTAGCTTGAATCAAAACCAATCATCTTCAATATATGCATGAGTTCATGCATTACGGACCCAAATACTAAATTGTGAGACGACGCCATACGAACTTGTTCCTTCGGATCATTCTTGAAACTTCACACTAATACTTCACACAAGTTGTGATTCAAATCACTCTTGATCCGGCACGAACAAATATTATAGGTGAATGAGCCTCCGATCACTAAATGGTAAGTCAAAATACCAATGATTTCATTATAAGTAGCACCCAAAACAAATGGTAAGTCGAAATACCTTCGATCATGAATGAGCCTCCGATCACTTGAAGCGCATATTGGATATTTTCCGATGACCCAACGAATCTCTCATATTTCTTTTGTTGATCGGATGACCCAACCGAATGCCCCTCACAATTACACAAAAAGTCCGCCGGTTATTTCACCTTTTCTATTTTAACCGTATTACCCTTTCTCACTCCAAATCCTTTCTTGATTGCATAAGCCATGTACTTATGATATGCTTCAAGTTCATTTGAGAAACAATAATTCAAGAAAAATAACATCTCATCCTTTACTTAAGAAAGCAAATTATGTTTTATGAGTAAAATATTACCTCGAGTCACCATTTGATATCTTTACAAGTGCAAAATAATGCGAGGTGGTGAGAGACTATGAAGTTCCCTCCTAATGAAATAAAAAACAAACATTTTTAGAACACAATCACTCACACAAACATTTTTAGAGCACAATCAAACACAATCAACAAAATATACAAGCATGGGATTTATTTAGGGACCCAATGTAATTACTAAACTCCACATCGTCATCAATAATGAACGAAAAATCGAAATTAACGATATTGGGGTTTAATCTCTTACTTGCTGCCAAACAGAAAAAATCATCTCAATGGGGTATCATGGACTTATGTCTTTCCCTCATTGGAGCCACACCTACTTTTCCTTAGACAGGTTTATGTCTAGAAAAAAAGATTCAAGGAAAGTTCATATCTTATGCATTAATCCATTGTGTCTAAATGAAGTATCCGGACAAGCTATTAAAAAACCAATAAATTTGGCAAATCGATCACCATGTGTACCATAGAATGTCTACATTCTATACACAATTTTCAGGATCAGCTATACTTTTATAGTCACCGTTGTCATTCCAAAATCCCTAACATTAACATATCACGTTGAATATTGGCTTTAACCACACTAACCACGAGCAGTGTGCTCCTCAACCAACAAAAACAATCAACTATTGATTCATTAGATTAGATATCCAATGATTTTCAATTGGACAAAGCAAAAGCCACCACCCGAGACAACACAATTTACAAGTTAACATCTAACAAATTCATTCTAGCTACTATTTCTAAGCTTTGAGTTCCACTAAGATGCGACTCTACTTGGAACATCGGTACATCCACTCAAGACTGTCTATTGTTTGCGAGATAAGCCCAACAAATAAACATAGTAGCCCAAATAGGTTACGATACATTGCTCGCAAATACATCCTATATTATGGATTTCTCACAAGAGAAATGATCAGGATATTGAACTTTGGCAATAAAAGGAAGAGTTAAAAAATTGCTGTTTCTCCCGCGACAAATGAGCATGTTCAACAGCGAGGCATTTCTTCCCACCTCAAAACCTAGTGTTACGGAGATATCACACGAAGGAATTATTAAGTTTTTAGTGCAAATATTAGTGGTACTAAATGTTGGAGTTTGTGCTATTGTCCACAAACTTCCGATGATATCTTAATGCTAATTAAAGAAACGATAAAAGTACTCACATATTGTGCATAGTGAATCGCATCATCGGACTTCAAGCAACATTTCAATGCATGCAGGAGATCCTGGATTATCATGTATGAAACATTTCAGGGACAATGAAAGTAAAATCAAAGGAAGTAGATGGGCAAACTTACATATAGGAAATTTGTGACGTAAGCTATACACCCAAATTTACATATACAAGAAAAATGAAAGGCATCGTTCAAGTGTATCCTATCCACATTTACATTGATTCAATGGATACACTTGTCTTATCAAATTGAGTGAAAACTCGAAGATTCTCATTTTGCTTGTTAATTGCAAAAGGCATAATCACCTGTAAGTACCAGCTACCTCAACAAATATCTGAAAAAGTTGAAGAAATGCGTTCTTGAAATGTCTAGCTAAATCATCATCTACTTAAGTTGATCTTCCAGGACCATTGCCATTTATATTTGAATCAGCTAGAATTTAACTTAAAAGAGCTCCTAAATTGCCTTGAGCAAGGTAAGGCCAATAGCACATGAGTTCCATTTTTCCTCGTATGGATTTTCCATGATGATGTTCCTCCATCTTAACTCGGATATCGATAGTAGATAAAAGCATCCATGTACGCAATCTCTGTTTTGGCTTTCTCGATGTCCTCCTCATCAAGTAATAGAAATCCAAATGGATCATTGCCTACTTCAACTTCCGTGGATGCAAGATAAAGGAACATAAGCTGTTAGAGGCATGGTGGGTCCGATCTAGTTTCCTTGACGGTTTACGAGATGGAGGACAATAATTCTTGAAACGCAAACAACATGGAGGGCCACGATTTTCGATGTTACAAAAAGTACGGATATATTTTACATGACCTTGTGCTTGTTCTTATTGATCCTCGGCCGCTCATTGATCACGAAACCAAACTGCAAGGGGGAACTCAAGATAAAAAATATAAAAAAGCCAGTTATTTAAACATAATTAGATCCACACTTGAATTGACTACAATTAACAAAAATGACGGACGTGAACATAATCAATTTGCAGAAAATAGACTAATTGATGCACTTAATGAATAGAGCTCAATAGTCTCAAAGCAGTGCAACTAAAAAGATCCCTTTTATATTTTTGCAGATGAAATCCAATGAAGAGACAACCTATGATGCTTGCATCTATTTTCTCCCGCACAAGAACAAAAATGGTTGTCTGTGGCATTATCCGCAGATTGCACTCAAGAAACATGCCTGATGTTCTTCGACCAAAATCAATAGAGAGCGTAAGAATGAGCACAGGCCACATCTTTCATTTAGCACACAGTCATAACAAGCACAAGCATTATCACCCATTCACCAAACGAACCTCAAGCTGATTATTTGACAAATTAAGCACGACCAATCCGACAATCTGCCCGAACGCCAAAAAAACATAATAATAGGGAACCTGTTGGTAGCGCGGTTCGTCACAGAGAGCCGAGCAAAGCCGTTTCTCGGGACAAAGAGAGAGGGGCAGAGGACGAATCGCCAAATGGGGGCTTCGGAGGCGACGGCGTAGGCGGAGGCGGTCGCGTGGTCGAGATCTGAGCCACCAATCTTCACTTTAGGGCAAAAACGACGGGAAGCTCAAGTCATACAAAACCCTAACCTGAGAATGGGGCTTCGGGAGGTAACGCAGAGGGCGAGTCGAAGCCTGAGATCTCCAAAGGGGCTGCGGGAGGCGACGGCGGAGGCGCGGTTCGTCACAGAGAGCAGAGCGGAGCCATTTCTTGGGATAGAGAGAGAGTGGCAGAGGACGAATCGCCAATGGAGGGCTTCGGAGGAGACGGCGACGGCGTAGGCGTAGGCGGAGGCGGCCGCGTGGTCAGGATCTGAGCCACCGATGGGCTCCGGGAGGCGACGATGGAGGAAACCGGCGGAGGCGGAGGCGCGGTCCACAAAGAGCCGCGCTTCGCGGAGGAAAGAGAGAGAGAGCAAATGGGTTTTCTAGAAGGGGACGGCGGAGGCAACCGGCGGAGGCAACCGGCGTAGGCGCGGCGGGTTCACGACCAAAGGAAGAGGAAGTCGGGGAGGAAGGAAGAGGAAGACGCGAGCGCGAGGAATTTTGAGCGGGAGGAGTAAAGGAGAGAGAAACCAGGAGGTGAAAAGTGAATATTTGAGCACTAACGGAGGAGAGTTAACGGAGGTCGGAGAGAGAGGGAAAGAGTGAGATTTTTAATAAATCTGATCTGTGGGCCCGCTTGCCACGTGTCACGCGCTCAATGGAGTTGTGTATTGCTGACGTGGAGTATTCCACTCACGCAATATTTTCTCTGAGATTCGTCGCCGCCACAGCTAGCGTTGATCGCCCTGCTTTGCTTTTCCCTGGCTTTCTTAGCCTGAAGAGTTCCCTTTTGCCTCCCGCGACTTGTGTGAGCGAAGCCATGAGAACTGTTGATCGCAGAGGCAGAACCGGCGGTTCAGACCCGCGAAAGAGCAAAGAGGATGAGGCGGTCGACAGGATCAGCGATTTGCCCGACTCTCTCCTCCTCCACATACTCTCTTTCCTGCCCTTCAGGTGCGCTGTCCGCGCATCCTTGATGCTTCGGCTGTTCCGCGACCTTTGGAGATCTCTGAGCATGCTGTTCTTCGAGGAGTGTGATTTCCATGCTTGTCGCGGCCGTTCTGGAGCTGGTGGCGGTGAGTTCTTGAATTTCGTCAACCATGTGTTGGCTCTACACAAGAGCCCCGAAATCCATACGTTCCGTATCGAGTTGAGCTTTCATGCGAGTGGCTCTACTAACCCTGAATTTGACGGTCGTGGAGTAATGTCAAATAGATTGGATGAGTGGATATTCTTCGCGCTGAAGAAAAAGGTGAAGGTCTTGGATGTTGCCCTAGATGGGTGTACTGGGCCGTTGAAAGCATTACCAGCTCTTTACTATAGAGTGCCGAGTGCTGTTCTTGGTTGCAGTAGCCTGGTAAAGCTTAAATTGAAGGTTTGTAATATCGAATCTCTAGGACAGATTCATTTGAAATCGCTTCAAAAGTTGTCGATGTTTGATGTTAATTTAAGCGAAGAGGTGATACAAAATCTGGTTTCGGGAAGCCCGTCATTGAAGAAGGTGTCCCTCAGGCGCTGCCTTGGCCTGCAAGTTCTGAAGTTTGATAGGCACCCGTCACTTGAAGAATTGAATGTTTGTCTTTGTGTTGACCTCGAAAAAGTTGATCTTGCTAGTTCAGGCATCAAAATATTGGCCGTCTATGTCGGTTATCCCTTGAGTAAGATAATCTGTCCGAATGTCATGACACTTGAACTGGATGGATCCATAAATGAAGTAAATTTGGATTGGGGATCTTCCCTTAACGATGTGGCCCTCTATTTCTGTGACTTTGGAGGATTCTTTGAGGAACATGAGGAGGTCAAAACGCTTGTAGAAAAGTTTTGTAACATTGCATATGTTACTCTCGGCAATTGGATTATACTGGTAGGTTTCCTTCTATTTAAATTGGAGTATTCTGGTAGGTTTCTAGAATTTCTTGATGTGAGAAGTGGCAGTTGTGGCTGGAGAAACTAACCAATCTTGCATTATACGCTAATCTTCAAAACACAAATGGAAACTATTTATTTTAGATGAGGCTGTCTTTTTTTGTTTCTGTCTTATACATTGTCATTTAGTTGGTTTCATGCAACTTCTGCAGCTAAATGTTTCTTGCATAAGGGATGATTATGCCATTCGATATGAATGGATCTCTGTTGTCCATATTTGTGCTTTCTGGTCCAAATTCATTATTTAGATTTTTTATTTGTCCTGAGGTTAATTCCGCATAAGATATCCATCCCAAATTAAATGGTCGAAGTCTTAATATCTGTTTTTGAACATTTGAGAAACAGAACGATCATCAGTTTTCTGTGGTCTTTTGGAGTCTTTACTCAGTGTCATGCTTGATGGAGAGCCTAGCATATTGCTGGGACTTGCTGTCAGCTAATCTTGTTGCTTCGTTTGTTGGCTATTTTGGGTAATTTAGCATTTTGATGTTTGTGATAATAAAAGTCTGAATTTAATCTTGCATATTTGATAAGGGAAGGTTTCGTGAGTAGTCTTTACTCAGTATAAATTAAAGATTGATTCCTTCATCATTAAGGGTGCTTGTTTGTGTCAGTAATTCCAAAACTTAAGTAAATCACCTGGAGGTGTATATCAATTAATACTTAGAAGGGCTAGTGGGTGATAACTGGAGCCTGTGTAATGTGTGGCATTCTAGTTGTTCGACTAGTATGATAGAAGTGTAGTGGAGATTGGATCCATCTAGTACTCCTTGCAGTAAACTGCAGCTTTCAAGGCGATGGGTGCCCAAATTTGGGTTAAAGCAATGATTTCATTTCATGAAGTAAAGAAGATATCCACTTTGTTTATATTTTGTATTTGATCCGACTTAATTAGTGGAGGCGCAGTAGTTGTTGTTGGTTGTTGTGTGTTTCTGATTTACTATGTGAACATCAAGTATTATTGGTCAGATGTTGTTCTTTTACCTTTTTTAGATTTTTGTCTGTCCTATTTTATGTTTTATGGATCTCAATTCCTCCAATGGTTCTCTGTTTTCCATCTGCAGCTCTTCAGCATATGGGAGCTGATGTATCAACCATGCCCAACTTTCAGCTGGAAGTCTGTGACAATGACACTTAATTTGGCAAAGTGGCATCTCCCTGGGATTTATTACCTGCTAGAGAATTGCGACTTTCTAGAAACACTTACCATATATGTTTATCCGTCAAATGCCGAGGATATTACGGTGCCTACTTGTGATTTTTCAGAGACACTTACCATATATGTTTACTCGTCGTGCCTGATAAATGGTGTTAGAGACATTTATTGCTTTAGCTTACAGTTTTGCGAGAATGAAACGATATTTTTCTCGAGAATAAAACGATATTTTTCTCTGAAAGTCAAAATTATTTCTACTTTCACTGTTAGAGAACAGTGGCGCCTCTTCATTACATTGAATTTATCTCTAAATTTTGTTAAGTATATTAACTTGCGATTGAACTATGGATATTGGATGTCATAAATAGTATATTTTTTTAGAAATTAAATTTATTTGATTTATCAATGCTTGAGCTTTGCTCTTTGTTTGCTCTTTTGTCAGGGACGTACGTGGAATCGAGTACGTGACTTTGATGGAAGGAGTTACTGGAATTTAGTTGAGGGCACATTTCATTGTCTTGCATACCACCTCAAGAATGTAATGGTATATGCATGTGTGACCGAACCATATGTGATCGAGCTAATCGAGTTTCTGCTTGGAAAAGCACTGGTTTTGGAGAAAATGGTGATCTCTACTAAAAGGAATTTTGGACAAACTCGAAATAGGGTTGACATCGGCGTACAGAAGGACTCTCCCCCGGATATGCTTCTGGAATTTTCAAAAAAGGTCTTTAGTTTACCAAGAATATCTCCCCGTGCAGTAGTACACATGGCAGTATGTTGATATGGTTTTTTCAAACATAGAAGCACTACTTTATTTCATTTCTACAGTTTCTATCATACTAACAAGTCATGTCTCTATCCTCAGTTAACATTTTCCCTCTTTTGGTCTTAAATTGATGGATTCAATAGTTTATCAATGGAAAAACATGTTTATGAAACCTGTTATCATTTTGGTCGGTTTTTTCTCTAAGCCACTATTGCTGTCATTGTAAATTTTTCGAAGTTTGAAGTAGATGATGCAGTAAACATTGCTCGAACAGAAGAAAGCTATGTAATAGTCTGTATGGATAGCGGTAATGACACTCCAGCAATACGTCATCCATATGCAAAAGCAAAATATGCAAATTTGATTTTGGAAGTAGGGCCTAGACTTTAAATAGAGGAAGTTTTGTGGATATGCAAATTTGGTTCCCAACTTGGAAATGGAATGGAAGGAAGGGAGAGTAAGAAAAGTCCAGCAAATTGCTTGTCACTTTAGCTAGACATGTATGATATTACCATCAAACCCTTGTGGTCAATTTTGGCTTCTCAGAATTATCAAATTCAATTTGACGGTGGAAATCAACTATAAATTGAACTAAAAATATCTTAATTTTGGCAAGTTTATTTTAAATATCTTGATTTGATTTCGCAAAATAAACTCAAGGCCCATGTGATGATACAATTTCCAACTGGGGAACCTAATTGATGCTCAAGCAAAATGAGTTTGCTCGGAGATCTTTGACCTTTTCTAGCCTCTGAGTAGTCTTACATGTTAAATCATTGATGCTTCGGCCGTTCCGTGGCCTAAAATAGCGTCCATAATTTAGGGAAGTTCCTCTAATGAATGTTTTGCTAGCCAGTATAGTCGATGATAAAATGTCGTCCTCGCAGGTGTATGTCTATGAGTCTATCCATGCTAGACAATAAACACGAATTTTTTTTGTTCGAAAATAGACATGAGTAAGAGTTACCTATAAAAGGAATACCATGTTTACTTATACAGGCCGACAAGTTGAACCTAAAATCTTAAATTAGCTTACAGTTCGAGGAAAAATCACCTTATGTGGTCGCTACTTAGGAAAAATTATCTAAAAAGTCCTAAATCTATTACACTCTTGTCAATTTAGTTATAAATTTTTCAATTTTACCAATTAATTTCAAAATCTTTTCATATTTTGCCAATTGAATACATACAATCAATTTTGGCTGGAATTTACTTAGTCAGCGTTGACGTGCACAATATTTAATAATATTTTTATTTTTTAAATATTTTTTGAATTTTGAATTTTTTTTTTCTTTTCTTTTTTTCTTTTTAATTTTTTTTGTTTTCCTCATTTACTCTTGTTTTTTTTTTCTTAGCAACAGCTGGCAAGGGTTGATGGGCCCTCGCTGACCGCAGACGATGGTCACCAAGTCCTCGCTTGGCCATGCCGGCTGCGGGTTAGGCTGCCTTCGCCCGTGACCGCTATGGCCTCGCCTAGATCTGGGCGAGGCCAGTCGGCCACTGGTTAAAAAACAACAAAAGCCAAGAAGGGAAACAGAAAAAAAAAGAGAAAAAGAAAAG